TGTTCGTCGCCTGCCTGAGGAGAAGTCATTGAATATGTTTATGGCTCGACTGTGAAAGGCGTTCAGTGCACGTCTGAAGTTAGTTGCATCCGAAGCCTGGTCGGCGTTTTGTCTTATGTTATTGACGTAGTTAAGGAAACACCTGTTAATGTTCCTAAGAGTAATTTTTTCTACGAAAACACCACATCAGAAACTGCTTGGAGAGGGGTTCATTGTGAATGATGAGTGAAGGAACACAGGCTGTATAGTGTCACACCTAACATTTTATGGTTTTTGAGAGTTTTAACGCCATCGACTGCCTATATACAGATCGAATCTGTACTTCTTCGTCCAGTTTGTGAATATGGTCGCTGTGGATTTGGTGGGGGGAGTGTTAGTCTCTTTGCAGCGAGGAAGCGAGGAAGGTCAGAGAGCTGACCGTTTACTTTTGTGTACATATCGACTCAATTTTTCAGACGCCATAACCTTACCAGTTGGATGTCGCGTTTTCCCTGCTTTATAGTGGGTTCATAAAGTGTAGTTCACTCATATAAATATCGATTGGTCTTCGGTGTTAAATGTTGAACCAGTTTTCATCCATTGTCACACATCGACGCAAAAACTCTAGTTTATACACTTGAACCGGGGTAGTTTTTCCCAGACGACGATTGTGGTCAAAAGTTTGACCATTGTGGGACGAATTGTGTTACATTTAAAAAACAGGGACGGTAGTTTTAATGAACGTGGTATTATGGAATTACCCTTGAAATGACATAAATTAATTATATTTTTATTAGGCCCAGCATAAATCTAATCCACGAAGCAGCCTCTATTTCCTTCCCTCTGTTTTTCCTTGTTGTGATGTTTTCCATTCCAATCTAACCTTTAAAGTTTTCAGTTGTCTGCGATTATTTTTGGAATCCTTGAGAGACTAAGGTCTCTATAACAGCGACCATCAGTTAGATATTCGTATCGTTTTTAATTATAAATTATGATTCTCCGCATCCCCAAATTTCGACGGATCTGGATCCCACATCTCTTCTTTTAAAATAATATCATCTTTAGAGGTAGGAACTTAAATTAGTAAAGTTAGGTTAATGTAAGATTATCCTGAATATCTGATGGAATTAGTCGAACTTCCCACACATCGCATTAATCAATGGATCCGTGAGCAGATAATTTCACGTTTTGGGTCGGTCCATTGGTCACAAAGACCGTCTGATATAAAACCGTTAGACTTTTTCCTGTGGGGATACGTAAAGGCTAAAGTCCATGCAGACAATACCGCTTCGATTCAGGACTTGGAACAAAACATCAGTCGTGTCATGCACCATTTGAACTCAACGATCTGTGACGTAAAAAAGGTAAAATCGTGGCATGCCAAAAAATACCGTGTAAGAAAACCCGTCTTATAAGGGAATCACCTGTATTTATAATTGACATTAAAGTCTGGAATGAATTTGTCAATAATCTACAAAGGTTAAACTTTAAGGAATTGCTCCTCTTAAAATCACTTGGATTATCTAATATATTAAATTTGTAATCGGAAAAAATACTGCCTTTCTACGAAGCAAAAAAATGTTATTTCGTTATGTTAAGGAAAATAATTCTGGAAATTCCTATACAATATCAATAGAACGGTGAACTATAGACCTGCAAGAGAGAGATAGAGCAGTCTGGCCAGACCGAAAATCTGAAAGTTATGTTTATAACATGTGACCTTGAATCTCAAATAAAAGTTTAGAGTTTTTACTAGGTGATGTCACTAAACATTATATGAAGCTCAAGCTAGTAGATTATTTGTGGAACAAAAATTATAGAAATCGAGTATAGGCTAGTCATGGTTATGTTTACGGAGATATTTAAACTAGTCATAGTCGATATTGGCGGCAATAAGCAGAACCAAAGGTTAGACCTAATGCAGAAAAAGGGAGTTACCAAAAAAAAGCTGATAAGAAAACCTCATAAGAATTACTAATTGTAGTATGACAAAGTGTGATCGGACTTCTTGCGCATTATATGATGTGTGGGAGAATGATTCATGTACGTTTCTTCTGAGATATATTCGTAGTGTGAATTATAATGAAGTTATAATAGTATAATTTCCTTTTATGTTAAATATATATGACTGGCCAGACTGCTCGAAGTTTTCAAATATGTATGGTACATGATGAAGAAGAGAATAAGGAAATGATGATCTTATTTTTTTTATACCGAGTTTTAAATTGTTTTCAAGTAATCTGTTGGATTTTGCGGTTTCGTCTAGACTCAAACTGAGCCTTGCACAGAGGTGAAACTCAGATTTCCGACTTTCAAGTACATTACAATTATAGCTTATCTCCATTAGTCCACTTTGCGTTTGACATCACTCTGTAACTAGCCTTAGGTGGACGTCTTATCAGTAAAGTAAATACATTGAGTTACAGAATGTGAGGAGTGTCTTCTCAATTGCATCACCTTCTAATGATTCATGCGTGCGGTTGCCGACATCTAAAGTTTCATATTATTATCTCTATATTTCTCGCCTTCTCTACTTTTATTCCAAGAATTGATTTCTATATCTATACTTCTCGTCTTGTTTACTTTAATTCCAGGTATCGCTTTCATTACGTATTTACTTATATTATAAATATGATATAAAGAAGCTTCAAATGATATTTGTACGTAATAACTAATCGGGTTTAGTCAACTTTGAAGGTTACAAAAATCCCAGAAGCTTAAAAAGAGAAAGAGAGTGGGATTAAAAAGTGCAAAGCATTAAGAAAAGGTGCAATATATGTATCTAATTGCTGTCTGTATGCTAATTAAAGCTTAAACTCAAGCGCAAATTGTGTAAATTAAAATGTTATTCGAGATATTTAATACAAATAAGTATATACGAGGGGCGTTGATTAAGTCAGTTATATTTTGAAAACTCTTTATATATATAATATGTATATCTTTCTGTTAAAAGCTGTCTAGTTAGACAACTTTGGAAAAAATAATGATGAAATAGGTGTTATCCATCATTATCACGCAAGGTAGAAAAGATTCCGGAAGGAAATCGATGGAGACCACTGAGTGACGTTAAAGCTTAAGGTTGAGGTGAAAGCTTTTAAAGCTTTGAAAATTCTGCTGAGGATGAGATAATCGATGGAGTCCACTGAGTGACGTTAAAGCTTAAGGTTGGGGTGAAAGCTTTTAAAACTTTGAAAATTCTGCTGAGACTATGCGCCATAATTTTTAGTGATTGAGGTTTTCTGTCTTCCATTCCAATTTTGTCTAAAACAAAAATCGCCTCAAATACAAACGTCGACAGAATTCGTAGCACAATATTGCTCAGTGGAATATTATCCGTACCTGAAATTTTGAAAGTAAAAAGGTTATAATCATAATTATTTAATGGTTTAGCAGTTCTTCTCTGAGTTCACCCTCCACCTATTTTGCACAAAGCTTTTACAACGCTTTCACATTTGTGAATGACGAAGACGTTTTTTTCTAGCAGAGCCACGCTACTTCAAAGCATAATTTCACCCCAAAAAGGGGATATTATTCTTGAGATGACGTTTGTAGCACCGAGAAAGATATGGATGACACTCTATAAAATATGTATATAATATACAGGATCAGCGTGACGAGCTTAGTCGATTTAGCCTTTAGCCATATCCGTCTTGCACACGTTCTGTTCATTCAAAGAAGTTGATCATTTGTTGGAACCGCCATTATCGGACCACTTTAACAGAGCTGTCATACAAACTGAACGACTAAAATAAAGACTTTTTAATTTGGCAATCTATCTTTACGAAATTATGCAAGGCCTTGCCACAATCTACGAAAAAAAGCTCTTGAAAGGTTCCAAGAAGATCCGACGTTTTCGAGCCAAATTTTGTTTAGTAATGAGGCCCATTTCTGGCTGAATGGGTATGTAACCAAACAGAATTACCGCATTCGGGACGAAGAGCAACCGGAAGAGAACAAGAGTTACCATTTCATCCTAAAAAAACGGCTTGTTGTGGTTTGTAGGAAACGGTGGAATAATATTTCTTCAAAACTGATGCCGCGAACATAACCGTCAATGCCGACTGTTATCGAGCCATGATAACCGACTATTTGAAGCCAGAAATTGAAGTTTGTCCTCGACATTTGGTTTCAACAAGACGACGCCACTCCCCACACATCGCGTCAATCAATGGATTTGTTGAGAGAACACTTCTGTAAGCAGATAATTTCATGTTTCGGGTCGGTCGATTAGCCACCAATATCTTGTGATATCACAATTTTTGCCTGTTGGGATATATAAAGTCTAAAGCCTATGAGGACAATTCCGCTTCGGTTCAGGACTTCGGACAAAAATCACAAATCAAACGTGAGTTTCGCCAGTTAACAGTCAAAAAGCTCGAATGAGTACGAGTCATCGAAAATTGAACACAACGGATGGACCATCTGAAACGTAGCCGCGGCCAGCATTTAAAAGAGAAAATATTCAAAAAACAAATTAAAAAGAATATTCTTTCGAATGATAATAAACATTACCCATTAAATTTGAAGTTTCTTTAGAAAGGTTTTGAATCTCAAAATGGATCACCCTTACGAACTAAACGATGAAAAGCAAGTTTTTGTTTGCAAAAATATCTTGACTTATTAATATAATTAAATATTAGAACACGCGTCACTCAAAAAGCTTCTGCATTTCGAATGAGTCAATCGTCCGAAAGCTGCATATTTTTTCTCATTTGAAGGTTAAGTCTAACTACAAAATGTATCGTTTGAATTCTAACCTACTTATAGAGAACATCGATTGGATTTGAATAACGTGAGGAATTGACTTTCCGATCACTGTCGCTTCCTCTGTCCGTTTAACTTTCAAAAACAACACGACAGAAGTCAGACTTATTAAACCAACATCGTTCAAACACAATTTCAACATTTAATTACGATTAAATATCGTCGCAATGAATTTTGCGAAATGACACAACAAAGCAGAGTACGCCAGGAAGCGATTCACCGCTTCGCTTGCAACTCAAATAAATGACTCATGCATACACAGCGAATGTGTGCAAGATCTCAGCTAAAAGCTGCTCACTGCAAGAGCACTTTGCTCAGTTTACTTTCGTCAACGTTCGTGTAAAGATGCAGTCAATCTTGAAGCTCCGATATGCAGTCGCGCTGCTGCTCGCACTGAATTGCGTTCTACTTTGCGCAGGTAAATAAACACAGTCACTCGTTAAGTGCTTAAATAAATGCGCATGAGCGTTTGTTCTTTATTTTGTTTTGTGTTAATATGTGCCCAGAATTATAACGATGATTTGAAATTCAATCTTATTTTTTTGTAGCTCAAGGCAACGGCGGTTTTGGTGGCGGCTCCGGTGCACCCGGTGCTCCCGGCGGTGGCAATGGTGGCGGCGCACCAGGAGCTCCTGGCGCACCCGGCGGCAGTAGTGGCGGTTACGATGGCGCACCCGGCGCGCCTGGTGCACCGGCTGACGGCTATTATGGCCACCAAAATCATATGAGCAGTTCAGCCGGCTTCACACAGCTCCAATGGCTGTTGGCTCTGATACCGCTCACATTTTTGTTTAGATGTGCTTAAAGCCTTTATAAATATCTAATTATATGTGATATCTTTATATAATTGTGTCGAATGCTTGCTTTGAGCTTCGGAAAAAGTATTTACGGTGCACTTTGCAGTCACAAATTTATTTTTATTTTGTAAATTACGTCTTTAAATAAAAGTTGAAACGTAAAAGAATATTTCTTGATTTTGGCTACTTATTATTTGTATTTTATTGGTTTTGCCTTCTACACATTCCAACCGATTGTGATGATGCATTAAGGTATTGTGTCACCGGTTGCTACCTACGGCCGGTCTTGTAGTAAATGTACAGGGTGGTTGATATATTTATTTTTTAACTAAAAGTTTATCAAAAAACAGAAATAAACACTAATGTTGGCTGCGCCAAAGCTTTAACATCGTTCACTTATACATTTTTAAAGCATGAAAAAGTATAAGCAGTTGCTTTTGTTCGCTCAATTTGTATGACAGCTATAGGCTATAGTTGTCCGATCAGTATAGTTTTTTCGGGGATTATATCACTGCCTTCAGCAATTATCTCTACCAAGTTTCGTCAAGATACTTCTTCAAATAAAACAGCTTTCCATACAAGCACTTGATTTCAATCGTTCAGTTTGTATGGCAACTATATGCTATAACGATCCAGTCAGAAAAATTTCTTCAGCGATTGTAACCTTTGTCTTGGAAAATAATGTATGCTGAATTTCGTGAGGATATCTGATAAAATAAAAAAGTTTACCATACAAGGACTGGATTTTGGTCGATCAGTTGGTATGAAAGCTATATGCTATATTTGTCTGATCTGAACAATTTGTTTAAATATTGTACCGTTGCTTAAGATAATATGGAATATGGCGAATTTCCTGAAGATATCTTGTCAAATAAAAAAGTTTTCCGTACAAGCACTTGACTTCAATCGTGCAGTTGTATGGTATATATGTCCATGTTTAGAAGTAAAACATGAGGTGGCGCACCGTCTTATTGAAAATACAGATCGTTCGCGTCGATTTCATCGAATTCCGGTAAAAAGAAGTCCGTCAACATCGTATCGTGTTACAAAACTTGCCATTGATGGAAACGTCATTTTCTGCCTCATTTCGCCAGAAATAAAGTCCTATAAGGCCGTAGCACCTGGATTTTGGTAAATGTTTTGTGATTCAAATGGGTTTTCTGAACTACACGAGAATTTGACTCATCGCAATAGCAAAAATTTTCATTGTTGACGAAACAATTAAGCCAGAAATGAGCCTCATCTGAGAAAATGGTTTTTCGATGAAGATCATCGTAGACTTCGATGATTTCCAGCGCACAATCGGTAAAGCTAAATCGCTTTAAACGGTCTCTCGGCTTCAGTTCTTGTGCCAACGCAATCTTATAAGGATGCAAAGTCAAATCCAACCGGAGAATTCGTCATATTGTCATCGGAGACATATCCAACTGTGCTGATCGACGTTGAATCAACTGCTTCGGATTGGCTTCAACACTGGCCTGAATGGTATTTACTTTATAATGGGCCTTGCCTTGACAGAAAGCTCCACTATTGTGGATACTATAGTAATTTTCGAATTTTGCATATGAGTTGTGCGTGATTAGACGATCGTATTATTTGCACAAGTGTTGTACTAAATTGAAACATGATATGATAAAATTGCAAACTTACTTACTTACTTAAAAAGACTGATAAAACTGCGCGAGCTGTCAAAGTCTCGTCAACCATAGTAGTAGACGTGAGCTTCCTTCTGGATCTTACAGACAGCCAGCTTTATCAGAACGAGTCGAGCAAGAATGAGTTTTATACCCAAAATATCCTCAAAAATCATTCGAACGGACTCGTGAGATACGACGAGCTCTCTTCCCATTTCTCTAACACTTGTCTGGCGATTTTTAAAACCATATTCTTCACTTTTTTTTTATTATTTTCCTAAGTTGAAGAGGTCAAAGGTCGCCCAGAATGGAGCATATCTTCAACGACCTATCGACCGTCTTTGAAGACTTAGTACCACTAGCAGGCTTGTGATTTTGATAAAACTGATTCACCGTAAGCCTTTTCTAACATTTGTAACGTTTCCGCTGTTAGAAATACAAAACTTGAGAAAAATCCTTTGTTCGATAATTTTATCCATTGTAAAATTCGGAACCCACTACTGAGATGTACCGATTTAAGTAGCTGCTCTAAACAAACTGGTTGATAGATCGCGCTCATATTTGGCATAGTAATTAAGGACAGTCCTATAACTTTGAAAACTTACCTGGGAAATTTAGTTAAACTTTTTTGGTTTTTTGTGTCACAATGTATATCCAAATCTGTCTATCGAGACGCTTTTCCTCAAAATCTATGCTCAGCCTCATTGAACCAAAAACCATAAAGAACAAGGCGAATGAAAAGCCCTGAAGCTTGATCTATTTCTAGATCAGTATTTTCTTTGTCAGATATACCTTACGAGGTTTCGTAGCACTTTTCGAAGTAGAATCGCTGTTAAAAAGTGATTTTATAATGTTTCCTCGGATTTGAATTCTCTGCTGGTGCTCTGCCAAAATATGAAACTCAATCAACTAATTTTTTATCATAAATTTCAGCTTTAGACCTTAGAGTAGTTGTTGTGGTAGCATTAGGGTTGGCGGAATACCTGTCCGTTTCAACCGTCGTTAGAGTTTTGATCTACTAATTCTACAAAGGGATTTCAAATTTGTGAACTTTATAGGTGTTCGAAGCCCTTTATTAAGTTTATAGTCAGTCTAATAAAATTAATGGTTTTCTAGTAACCGTTTGGTCTAAGAAGAGCCTTCGCATCATAACTGTTTCATTTTACTTTGAGTGTTAAAAAATGCATTAAGTGGCTTAGTTGTGGCCACTACTGTAGTACAAATGTACTGCAAATACATTTATACTTATATATATTTGTTTTGACAATCATTTAAACCGGTTTTTAAATTATCAGTTCCAAGTTATTGCATTTCTGTTTGGTCTCCCACAAAGCCGTCGCTAACAGACGAGTGGGATGTGCGAAATACACGTGCTTCGGGCCAATATACTCATTCATTCAGAACCCGTTGTTTGAGTTCTGATTTACATATTTATATTAATTTTATTGCATTTGCTTTGATTTAGTCTGCTGAGCAACCGCAAGCGTTTTAATTAATTGAATTGAATGAATGAGGCGGGTTTCACTTTTAAGCTTTTAATGTATAGCAGCTTATAAAGAAACTGTAATGTAGGAGTAGTGTTTAATTTTCAGCTGTTTCTCTTGTGGTTTTTTAACATTTTTATACTCTCGCAACAAAGTTGCTAAAAAGAGTATTACAGTTTTGTTCACATAACGGTTGTTTGTAAGTCCTAAAACTAAAAGAGTCAGATATAGGGTTATATATACCAAAGTGATCAGGGTGACGAGTAGAGTTGAAATCCGGATGTCTGTCTGTCCGTCCGTCCGTCCGTGCAAGCTGTAACTTGAGTAAAAATTGAGATATCATGATGAAACTTGRTACACGTATTTCTTGGCTCCATAARAAGGTTAAGTTYGAAGATGGGCAAAATCGGCCYACTGCCACGCCCACAAAATGGCGGAAACCGAAAACCTATAAAGAGTCATAACTAAGCCATAAATAAACATATTTAAATGAAATTTGGCACAAACGATCGCTTTAGGGAGGGGCATATTTGGACGTAATTTTTTTGGAAAAGTGGGCGTGGCCCCGCCCCCTACTAACTTTTTTGAACATATCTCGAAAACTACTATAGCTATGTCAACCAAACTGTATAGAGTCGCTTCTTTTAGTCATTTCCATATACAGTTCAAAAATGGAAGAAATCGGATAATAACCACGCCCACCTCCCATACAAAGGTTTTGTTGAAAATCACTAAAAGTGCGTTAACCGACTAACAAAAAACGCAACAAACACTAAATTTTACGGAAGACATGTCGGAAGGAAGTTGCATCCATGCTTTTGGACCTAAAACCATATCTCAGGAAGTACTCAACCGATTTCAATGAAATTTGGGATATAGTATTTTCTTAACACCCTGATGACATGTACCAAATATGAGTGAAATCGGTTCACAACCACGCCTGAAACCTCGATTATCACTTTATCATGCGAGAGTATAAAATGTTCGGTGACACCCGAACTTAGCCCTTCCTTACTTGCTAAGTTATCGTTTTGAAATTTTGCAAACGTCATTTTATCTTCAAGAAGCTGCTCGTTTGTCGGAACTACCGATATCGGACCACTATAACATATAGCTACCATACAAACTGAACGATCGGAATCAAGTTCTTGTATGAAAAATTTGCACATTTCACAATGTATTTCCACAAAAGTAGGCACAGGTTATTTTCTAAAGCAAAAATGTAATCTCCGCAGAAATTGCTCAAATCCGTTAACTATAGCATATAGCTGCCATACAAACTGAATGATCGCAATCAAATGCTTGCATGGGAAACTTCCTCATTTGACGATATTTCGTATGAGTTACTTTTTATAGGAATAATATAATATCAGAAGAAATTATTCAGATCGGCTCACTATAGCATGCAGCGGCCATACGAACCGAACGGTAGGAATCAAGAGCCTGTATAGAAAACTTTGGCATTTGATCTGGTATCTTCACGAAATTTGGCAAGGATTACTGCTTAAGGTAACAATATAATCTCCATAAAAATTGTTTAGAACGGATTACTATAGCATATAGCTTCATACAAACTGAACACATAGTTACTAACAAAAATGCACCTGTGAAGGGTATTTAGCTTTTTAGTTTTATTTGCTAATTACATCCTAAGTACCCCTCACGAAATAAATTTCAATTTTCAATTTCAATTGTGGTGTTTAGTCACTTCAAACTGCTTTAAATTGGTTTCACAGGTCGCCATGTCGAAAGCTTGATATTATATACGACTTATTCACTCGGTTCAGAAGTCTAAAGTCTGAGTCACTAAGCGCAGTGTGATTCACCGATGTCGTAATGGCTTTGCCAAAATTACGCAGTCTACATCAATTGTACTGCTACAAAGATAGTAATCAAAAATAATTTATAATGGAATACAGAAAATGCAATGATGAAATGCAATTATGTCTGTATTCTCGCTGGGGAAAATTTTCTGACAGAGGTGGCATCTGTGTTTTAACATTATGCTATACATACTACTAATAAATAATTTTAAATTTCTTAATTTATTC